GAAGTGAATTTTCAGGTTCCAAACTCTTCATTAGCTGACTACCGTAATCTTAATCTACCTTAGTCCTTCGTCAGAGCGATTGACGAAGGGCTAACGCTCGAAACGTCAGCTTTTAAACTATTTACGGTGGCCAATTTACGATTTCAACTCAGTTAATAATACTTAATTATCCTGTTACACTATCCCACCGACGCAGCACCACAGTTTCTCTAGAAACTTACCCCTTTTACCGTAACCATAGGTCAAGTTAACACGCTTTTATCTTTTATAGGCAAAGTAAATAACAATATTATGTAATCCAATTGAAAACCAGACATAATATCAAAATATTAAAATCAATTAATCACAATCATCCTGCTGGCAAAATTTACATTGTTGGCCATTTCGCTCTTGACAACGACATTCGCCTATACTCCATATAAAGCTCCGTGAATCTCCCGGCAGCCGCTGGATTATCAGAAGTCACTAAAGCCAAATCGTGATTTATTGCTTTCAAAGCCTCGCAAACTTCCCACTTGCGCTTTCTTTCAGTCACGAAACAGCGGCGAAAGCTTCCTTGTATCGACAAGTGGTCCAAAAGGACAGGTAGAATTTTGGCAGAATACTATTTGAGAATTCAGTATATTCGCCCTTTGGGTTCGGGAACCACCCCAGGTCTTCATCTTTCCACTTCTCTGGACTTGCACTTTCACTTATTCCCGCACCCGATGTGCCTCCAGCAGAGTCAGAGAAGTAGCTGGCATCCTTTTTAGAATGGCGAGATGGCAAACAGCTACAATAGCCACAAGTTTCTCCATCTGACCTCATGAAATCCTCGCATTCACCACAAGCGCATTTCCCTCTTTCTATTCCTTGTACATCCTTGCCCATTTTCAAGTTTTCACCGTGCAATCACACGCCACGCTATTAACTGCTTTGTGCGCAGACGCAGTTATGTGAGTTACAATTCCGGTTAGTTACTTTCACCTCCGGTTATTTTGTCTTGGAGGAGGTGGGGGGAGGGTCAGATGTTTTTGTGTAGTTATTTGTGAAGGGTCATGCATTAATCCATTCTGGTAAGTGGGAGGGCCACGACTTTTCTCGCAAAAAATTTCTAAAATACCCCGACCCACCCCTTCCCCCCCGCCAGTAAAAAACATATCTTCCCTAACGAATAAAGGAAGTCTCGACGAATAAAGGAAGTCTCAAGAAACTGTGGTGCTGCGTCGGTGGGAGAGTATAACGGGGTAATTTCGGATTATCAAATGAGTTGATAATGTAAATTGCCACCTTAAGGAGTTTCAAAGCTGACTTTTCGAGCGTTATCCCTTCGTCAGAGCGATTGGCAGCAGTTACTCCCATCCATTCGTGATGCCTCGATAAAGAATTGAGACAAATGGAACAATCCGTTCCGCTCTATTATTTTTTTTTTTCAGTTTTCATGTTTTTGTTTTCATATTTATCCACTGGAGGCGGCTGTGACTTCCAGATGTTATGATAATTTCACACGAAGTGATGTTGTTCTTGCTACACACTCTGTTTACAAATGTGAAGATGTTGTGGTTTTATGCGGCGAATCAGCACCAGAATGTCACTTGAGTATTGTTTAGTGTTTCTTCATCAAAGACAGAACGTCTTCGATATTAAGGCAAACATCATTTTATCAGACTCCAAGGCCTCCATGCCCATCCTCTGCTGTTTGTGTGACCAAGTCAGGTGCGCTGATATGGTTGAAGGAATAACACGACATGCAGTACTACAATGACTCGTAATTTTCGAAAAATATTGTGGGTTTGACACAATGAAGTCCATGCAATTTGAAACGTTCCGTAACGGCCTTTTTTCTTTCTTTTTTTTTTTCTTTTTCTTTTTCTTTTTAATCTTAGCCTTGGACGTGTCCCATGGCACGGCATAAGACGGCAGGTTTTACAGACAGCGGTTGAGCAATATGTTGTTAAGTAACGGACCACTATATCAGACTGTATGTCGTGTTATATATTACCGTCGTTATATATTACCGTCTTCGGCTATTCTATTACTTAGCAACAATTTTTTAGCGCTCTCTTCCTTCCTGTGGTGCTATGCGTTCATGGCTGAGATTTTCAGGAAGAACCACAACTTAAATTGGGAGGACTTAACTTTGAAAACTTTGTAATATCTTCCGAAAAATAGCATTCATATCATAGGTAAACGAACTTCCTTCTATCTTGCAACTTAGACAGTTAAGTTAAAATTGACCCACCTTCAATCAATAATTCTTAACTGCTTGTTATTTTTACATGCATATCTCGATAGTTTTGGAGATTTTTTATTCAGTAACCCAATATAGCTAAATAAAATCCGCATGGAAGAAAAATTCCCCAGGAACAATGCTACATATCATGAAGAAGATAGACGGATTAACCGTGGGAATACAGATTAACAAGCAAAGACTGAGAGATCAAAATAAATAAAGAAGGAAAGAAATTAGGGAGGAAAATGAGAGATGATAAATATTTACTTTGACGGTTTATGACAACACCCTCAGCCCGCACACATTCTTTGGACTTTACAGGGCCTATCTGTGGATTTCCCTCTGTTCTCTGTCTCTCGCGTTGTTGTAAGTTCTATTAATATTTAAAACCCCATTGTTGTCTATCAGCCCTTAGACGATGTAATAGCAGGCAAGGACCTTTAATCATTGGGATGATCAAACGATGAAAATATTAAACCACATCCCAATTTGGGGGGTTTCCATTCTCCATCGAGTGTTTCCGTTTCATGCTGATGGCTGACTTACACTTGAGGATAAATTCCTTGAAGATAAAATTTAGGAACAATATTTACCGAGCCCACTGAATAAGTCAAACAAACTGATGCTAGTGAGTTTTCAAAGGAATTAGATACATGAAGGAAGACTAATCATCTCCACGATTGGAAAAAAAAAAATTATAAAAAATTATAACAACTGGGACCGTTTTAGTGTCTAATGACCCTTCGCTTGTCTAACATCATCTCCGCAAATGCGAAATCAAGTTAAGCAAAGTCTCCTTTGTGAGCGAATAGATTATCACTGAAAAATTTAGCGCGAAAGGTTATTTTAGTATTTCCACGTAATGCTTTGGAGGAAAATCAATGCAGTTTCGCCTAAATATACAAGCATTCGACCTATCTTATCCTTCTTTAACGAAAATGCAATTTTTTTTATGGTAGGTCACGTTTCGTATTACGATGCGGTCTAAATATAACTCTTAATCATCAAATTATTCGAATATTTCAGCGGAAACTGGGTATTTCATCTTGACGTAATCAACAAACGTTGATCTAAACGAGCTTGTGATTGGGTAGAACAAACACACCTAAACATGTTTCCTTTACATTTCCTGTGAAGTGTCGTGGAACGCCGGACTCCGTCGAAGCAAACGTGTCTTGTATAGAAGAGTAGTGAAAGCGAAAGCGGAATTGGAAAGACGAATTTTTTTTAAAAAATCAATTGGATAATTGTCTTAGTTATTGTTGTTACTAAGAAAGAAGAAGAACTTTTTAACGCTCGTCGAGCTGTTAAAAATGGCGGCGTCGCGGAACATCATCTGGAGGGAGTACAAGTTTTCAGTTGTGTGCATCATTTTCATCTGGACTTTCCTTTCATTATCTCGTCAAGGTATGCATTTTAATGTTCAAATTTACAATTATGTTCACAAAATTGCGGCTTCGTTGAGAAAATTGCGATATCTTGCAGGCTTATTTTGACAATTTTTCATTCATTTAGAAATTATTGGTTCTAGTTACGAACCTCGCCGAGGGAAAATTTCTTTTCTTAAGAAGGATTGTTTCAATTAAGAATATTGTAGAAAACTTACGTTTATTCAGTAACGCGGGAAAGTAGAGAGATCGTGATGTACGGTAAGATCCCTGTGCTTACATATCCGGCAGCTTTCATTTATTCAGCGTCATCGACGAGAAATCGTGGAAGTCGGTCCACATTTACCGTAAGCACAGTTGTATTCATCAAGTGACCATTCAATAATACGACAAGTTATGTCCAAATGAAGACAACCGAAAACTCACTTCATCGACTGGTCAACTTGAAACCAAAGTGGAACATTTTTTTCATGTAGAACTGTTTGGGACAGTGGTAATAATCCCCATTTTGTTCATTTTTTGTGGTCTGCAGTTCAACCTTTAGCCCGGATTAAATTTAATGAGCGTGATATAAGCTTAACTTTACGTCCCATGAAACAACTCAACTAAGAGGAAATACTATTAGTTTTAAATTACTGCTCTTCTCCTCCTCAATCACTAGACTTTTAACTTTTCACTTTATTTCCTACGAATTATGATTGCATTTCTTTATAACTGACCTTGATTTACTCTTGAGCGTAAAGCATATGCGAACATCCTTCAGTTGGATAACTTTTGTAAAATCAATTTCAATTGTCTTAACTTCATTATAAGATTAGCATACGTTTGTGTTAGCTTGTGATTCCCTGCTGTTTGTCATGAGTCAGTTATTTGTCATATGAAGTCTAGATGTATTGTCTAAATTTCCTGCAATCCATTTACACAGAAAAATGAAGTTTTAATATTAAATCACACTATCAAGAGTATTTTAAGATTGCTTTCTGCATAAAAATTTGTTTAAATTTGTTAATTTTGAAAATACTGCACTCGTACAAAAGCTGCACAATTCACTGTCTTTCTTTGTGAAGTATTTATTTTGTAACTTAGCATGACCCGAATTATCTAGAGTGTGATTGTGTCAAAGGAGGCCAGAAATGCTACTTGAGAAATATGAATATTAATTTTCTGTTAGCAGCAAATGCTGTATATATTGTTCAACTGGTATCAGTGGGATATGATCTATCACCATGATACTGGTTGTCATGCCAAATCTTTAAGGGAACTTTTAATCCCATCATCACCAAATGTTATTCTTCCACCTCTGCTTGAAATAGGGACAAAAGACAGATATGACCTAGGCACTTGAAAGGACTTGACAATTCAGGAAAGAGCTCAAGTTCACCCTGCTGAAAGATAGATTATTTTATTGTTGTCTATGTACAGATAAATTTTCTTCAACAGCTTCTAAGGTCAACTTTCCCCAAAATGGTTTTGCTTTTGAAACATTTATGAGAATGACTGCAGTTGGGAATTTACTTACATTCATGGTTAAACCCTATCACTCAACCACTCTATCATTGTGTCCAGCCTTGTCAATCCAACTAGCGTTAAATTAACAGTCACCTTTCTTCTTTCTAAGGGGTTGGAGGGTTAAGTTAGATTAGCCTAAAGCTTCATCTTGGCCATGTTTGCTAATGATTGTTTACTTTGCTGTAGGTGTGGATGCATTAAAATTTCTCAGTCCTCCACCCCAAGTTTCTAGTGGATACCTAGCCAGGAATATTGACTTCAACTGTTCAACTGATGATGCAAATGCAACAGTTAAGCTTTTCTTCGCTGCAGACTTTGTAAACTTTAATGAAAGAACTTTGTCTCTTGAGAAACTTCACCTGAATAAACAAGTTTTTACATTGTTGAACCTTGGAGTGAGGGATGGTGGACAATATAGGTGTAAAGCAACAGATGGAAAAAAAACCATTGAATGGCCAAGCACTCATGGTTTACTCTTTCTTTCTCAAGGTAGGTGGAACACAAGCATACATTATGTACGATGTAGCTTACATTTTGTATTGTTTAGCAAATCTAATCCTCACTGTTAATACCAGAAACTTAGGTTTAACAAATCGACAGTGGTTTAGCATGGTCGGTACTCCTCTCAAAACCACTATATTTGTTATCACAGTGGTCAAAATGTTATGAAATCACAAGGCATAGCCAAGTGAGTCAACAACAAATAAAACAATTCTTTTAGTTTGACCATTACTTGACAAGTTGACATGAGCAGCATTGTCTTTACTCTTATTGACAACCACAAATTGGCCATTACTGCCAATTGTGGTAAAAACAGTGTTCTTTTGTGTTTTGTTCATGCAACCATTTCATCTCCAGGAATGACCATAAAAAAGTTTTCTTTCTCTAAAAACATTTTCAAGCAAAAGGTGTCAAGAGAAGACAAAATATCACAGGAATATTATTTGATTTTATACCAAACTCTCAAAGATAATGCAGTAAGAAATTTTCGCAGACAGTGTGGAGAATTGATATTGGATCTTAAGGGTAAAGGAGGTAATTTTCCTGTGAGAGTACATTAAATTATAAAGTACCAGAGAGTGACATAAAACAAGATTCACCAGGAGTATCACTGAATAAAAGTATTTTATGGCAATGAATTCTTTTGAAATCAACATATTTAACTAAAAAGGTTCTAAGGTGTACAGGGTTAATGATATTTATGAGCATTTAATTTAAAAGTGTTGTGTTACCTTACAGGAAAATTGCCAGATATTATACTTGATCCACCAAGACCAATCATAATACAGCAGGGGCAAACTGGAAAAATCACATGTCAAGCTCTTGGTTGGTCAGTCAGCAAACTTGCATGGAAGAAGCGAACTGACTCTGGTGACCAAAATGTTCCAGACAGCAAAGTTACAAATGTTGTAGATAAGTCTGAAAATTTAGTGAAAGCAACCCTAACCTTCACTAATGCTCAACCTCAAGATAGTGGTGAATATAAATGTGTGCTGACAGCTTTCAACAAACAGGATTATAAGCTTGCAAATATACGTGTGGATGGTAAGTTGTGAACCATTTTTCAGGGCTCAAAATTAAAAAAAATTCCAAGTCGCCTTTTGGCAACTATCAAAGAAAAAATGGTCACCAAATACAAAAATGCAGTCGCCAGGTAGTACAAGAACAGAAACTCAGATGAGAGCCCCATTTAATTAACATAGTTATTCAGCTTCTGGAACTAAACACATTGCAAAAACATCCTCCGGTAGCTGTTGCGTGAGATTTACACTCCAAACAAACATTTTTGAAAGGCTTTGAAACGCTTCTTGTTTGCATACTAACAACGATCTTGCTTCCTGGTAATTTCTAGCCTGCAGCAAATTACGAAAATTGCTCAGTGTATTCTGCTCTTGTGATAAATAATTCATGACTTTCAGTGTAGACTCGTCTCACTTGATCAAGCAAATGCTGAAAGAAAGCACCTGCTTTGAAAGCCGGCTACTTGCGACAGAATCTGCTACAGAACGCTTTTAAATTCAGCAGCCTTTCAACAAAATATTGCTTCTGCGATCACCATGTAGAAGCCACTGTAATGTCGTCTCATAAGTCTCTCATAAGTTGCGATCTTAGAGCGATTTCAAGTTTTAACTTAAAGGTAAACAGACTAAATTTGCATTTCCTTTTGCAGAAAAGCAGAAACAAGACTAAGGAAATTGTTTCTCACCTTTAATATTTTATTTATCAAAGGAACATAGTTGCCAAAGTGGCAACTAAACTCAAATTTTTAGTCGCCAAGTTTAAAGTTTTAGTTGCATTGGCGACCATATCGGTCGCAATTTTGAGCCCTGTTTTTATAATGCAGCATTAGCATCTTTCTCAAGCCACTAAATTTTATAACTGTGACGCCATTGGTGTAGTTGAGCACACAGAACCTAATTCTACTATCCAGACATGTTATCAAAATTGTATGTTTTTCCATGGTCATTTTTTTAGTGGGAGATGTCGTGTCTATGTGGTTACATGTACATGTAACATGTGGGACTTGTGGTGGAGAGGTCAGCACTGACCTGGCAGGGTTGTTGTGTCACAGTGTGTTGCTTCTCTCAGGAGTAACAAAAGTTAACAGCCCTTATCAAGGAGATGATCATAATTCATAGGCTTTTCATACCAGGAAATTCATCTGGTTCTGTGGACCATAAGACTGGAAAACTGATCAACCTTTTGCCCTATTTACTCAATAAACATGAACAGTACCTTGATAATTTTCTATTATGGTATATTTATGTACAGTTACCTATCTTCTAATTTGTTTGTAGCACCTCAACCACCAACTTTGTATCCATACAATGGAGGGACAACAGTTAATGAAGGGACTGAAAAAACTCTTAGATGTATAGCTAAAGCATCTCCAAAAGCCAATATAACCTGGTACAGGCATGGCAAGGAGTTACAGAACACCACCTCCTGTTCCCCATCAGATGAGAAAGAGTGCAAGACTGTTTATGAGGTTTATGAAGATGACCCCACCTCTTCTTTGCACACTACTTTCACTAAACAAGTTCTTCAGATACATGGTGCCATGTATCCAAGAGACCAAGGGGAGTTCAAATGCATTGCAATGAATGGCATTGGTCAACCTGTTGAGTTAATTATAGACCTTGATATACTTGGTATGTGCAATACTTTTATTTGCAGTTTATTTCATTCACTGCTGTTGAACTTCTTCTTCCAACAGCCACCTTGCAAGGCTCTGTGCTCAATACGTTTCAAATGCACCATTTGAAAACCTAAATTCATGAAAATATTTGGTCAAGAGAAAAAAAAAGCTGGCTGGCAGTAGTTTCTAGAGGTTCATAGGATGTCTGGAGGTGTAATGAACTCAACCAAGGAGAAATCAAGGGATGAAAACAATGTTGGTGATATTTTTGCTGTGGTGTGGCAGTTAGCCTGCTGAACAAACTGACTACCCATCAGTGCCTTTCTCTGTCCAGTTGTAGTCAGAGGTACTAAGAAACTGTTGGACACAAATTTAAAATTGAAAAGTGTGTCAAGAAACGACAATGGACTGGCATACTATACAAGGAGATTAAATAGCAATACTTGAATGTTAATTGAGATGTGGATTGGTGCATTTGGCTCAACTGAAAACCTTACTTTCACCTTTTTTCATTTCAGCACCACCTGCTATAGATAAAGAGCGAGATGAAATACCAGCTAAAGAAGGGCTGGAATCAAAAGTGATCTGCAAGGTGACAAAATCAAACCCACTTCCCACTTTCACATGGAAATACCAAACTGTCAAATGTGAGGACTGTGTACCTGATGAAAGCAATTGGATTGATGTTCCGTCTTATCTTCTTCTTACACCCCCAAAACAAACAAACTTAAGTGAAGTTCGAGTTGAGAAAAGTCAGTCTGCTGCTTTTTACCATTGTCAAGCTGACAATGGTGTTGGAAATGACACTCACATTGTAAAACTCGTTCGGCTTGGTAAGTAGTTTTTATTTATTGTTTCAAGATTGAGCTCAGTAATTATCAGGAAAAGCATTCAATGGACATAATTTGTGTAGAATGAGATTTAACCAAATTTGAAGTAGTTTGATGAATTAATTAAAGTAAGATTGCACCCTCCATTTAATCTGATGATCCAAACATTTGTTCCCTTTACTAATTGCGCTCTTGTCAGTTTTGTTAATTTTTTGTGACACAAGACAATTCCCACTTTTTTTACCTTGTGAAATTGTGATGTTGAATAACAAATGTTTTGTCATCAAAATTTACTTTCCATTTCATTGTATGAGAGATGTTTAGAATAATTAGCACCAACAATATTTTAATCAACAGCAAAATCAAAGAAAATTTATGAGTTTGAGTCAGACAGTGCAACACAGTTAGATGAAGAAGGCACTTTGCATCTCGTTTGCATCAGGCGATGTGGTCTCTGGTG